AAAAGGATTTTTGGCACCCAAGCATTCTTGGTGCCGAATTGGTTAGGGACATGACCCCTATCATTCAAGCTCAAAGCTCTAGGGTTATGAACCCTCTTAGGCGCATGTGGTGCACGGACACGGTCATAACGAAAATTACTCAAATGAACCTTCCGATTGTAATAAGTACAATGAAAAAAAACATTTACTTATGTTGACCAAACGGTTGTGCACGGGACTCATTTGCAAAAATAGGTTGTTCTTTAAAATTATTTTGCAAACATGAAACTTTCCTCAAATCAAAACAAAATTTGGTCAAATGACCAAAACGACCACAAAAATTACATTGATACACATTAACATGCTTATGATGAATTTTATGAGTATGAGCATGTGAATGTGTATGTGATGAAGAAACTTTATGAGATGCACAATGATCATTAGCATTGTTATGTTTGTGTGCATCATAGCAAAATTTAGCTAAATGACCTTTTCGGCCGTAAATTAAACACTTATAAACTTTGCTAAATATGTGTGCATAATGAGTGGATGATTTTGACTTAGACTTAGCACACATATTAACAAGCTTCTTATGTTTATCAATGCATGAAGTTAAGGTTGAACCTAAAGATGATATGCGATTTTTGACAAGATTCAACTCATCATTAGGCACAACATCATTGATAATAAAAGTAGAGCATGTATGGTTATTCTTAAAAGAATCAAATTCATTTCTAATGCATTCTACTTCTAGCATGACATCATCATTAGCATGAGTTAAGCTAGAAATGGATGAGGTTAATTTTTTATTTTCCAAATTTAATAAGTCATTGTTTTCTTTAAGCATAGTATTTTCTTTTGCAATGACATCAAATTTGGAACCTAGCAACTCATGATCGGATTTCAAATCTTCATGCTTGCTTTTTAAATCTAAAAAGATATGATGTAATTTGTTGTAGGCATACTATAATATTTCAAAAGCACAAGCAAGTTCATCACTACATAAATCATTAATGGATTCAAACTCGCAAACCTCAATTGGGCTATCGCCTAGTGCCCTTGTGCATGATGCTCCAATGGAACTTGAAGAGGAAGCTTTCAAAGCTTGTCGGATTGCCTCCAAGTCCCCTTGACATGCTTTAATAAATTTCCATAAGGTGTAAGCACTATCAAAATGAACAAACTTGTTAGAAAACGATGAGTCAAAAGCATTATGTATAAATTCTAACAAAAGCTTATTCATTGTAAACATTCTATGATCATTTTTATTCCACTTGGATTTCTCCGTAGTGGGTACAATATAAGCACAATCTATAATATTCTACAAATCGAAATGTCTAGATCTAACAAATATATTAAATCTAGAACACCATTGGTCATACGAAAAAATTATCTATTCTAGGAGTAACATTAGGATCATAGCCGCCTAAACAAGATGCACCATTCATATCCATAATTATAATTATATGCAAGCAAGACAAATAAATCGCTAAATTAGATTAGCACAAAAAAGATAACTTGGATATTTAACTCAAGGCGATTAGACCTTAAATCAAAGAGCACCAAGCTCTGATACCAATAGAAAGCACCCAATGCAACTAGGAAAGAACCATAGGGGGGTGAATAGGGTTTATGCTAATCTAATCTGATTTTATGCCAATTAAAAACTATTTAACAAATTATCCTAGCAATAATGATATTCAACAAGATATGAGCAATGATATATAAACTACCACAAGGGTAAAATAAACAATAAATAAACAAGAGTAATAGTGCGCAAATAAACAATGCAAACAAATAATATGATCACGGAGTTCGGACCTTCTGCCTACGTCTCCGTTCCCCACTCCCGGAGAGAAATCCACTATCACACCGGGTTTTCAACGATCACCCGAAAACGTTTCCACCACACAATATCGGTTTTCAACGCTCACCGATCAACGTTCACAATCTCACAATGTAATTACACTAACTACCACCTCAAGTGTTGGTCTCTAGCCCGTGTCTCCCTCAAGTGTTTGGAATTACAAGCTCTCTCTAGGCATTACCACCTACCCCACTCCTCTTGGGACGACCACATCTCTCACCACACACTCCTCTTGGTGTACTAGTGTAATACAAAGTTAACCTCACAATTAAGTACAAATACAACAATGGTTGTTCTCTACTATGGATGAGAACTCAATGAAAGCTCACTCTCTAAGTCACAAACCCACAACCCCAAATTATACTATGTATGCAAATACAATAAGCTCAATAGGTTGTGTGTGAACAAAGATATAAATCAAATCAAACTAAACTCAAATAAACTCTAGCTTATGGAAATAAAAATCAAACATATAAAATAGCTAGATTGAGTTTAGGAAAACTTCTCTATATGATAACAAGAGAGAGGGAGAAGAGTGAATGGTCAAACACCAAAGAATAATCTACACTTGCTCTTGTGAAAGTTTCTTCACAAACAAAACTCTTAAACAAATTTAAAAACCTTTAAACAAACTAAACAAACTTTTAAAACCCTTGTAAAACTTTTCTCTTTAGTAAATAGAACTGAGGATATGTGGGGGGTATTTATAGGAACCCCAAAGCTAAAAGAAAACAAGGTAAAAAGACCAAAAAACTAAAACTAGAAAAGACTGGAAAAAACTAGCCGTTACAGCATTAGTCGACTGACGGCTTTCATCAGTCGACTGATGAGTTGACTATTGTAGGTATTTTCCAGCTCATCAGTCGACTGATGGATCATCAGTCGACTGATGGATCATCAGTCGACTGGTCAGTCGACCAAAACAAAATAAAAACTTTTTTATAATTGTAAACACTTTCATCAGTCGATTGATCATTCGACTGATAACACTGTATCAGCCTGGTATGAATAGTAAAACTGATTTTTGAAGTACCTTTAAAAATAATAAATAACTTCCAAAAAATGTAAAACTTTGGGAAATCATTGTAAATATGTAAATGAACATGTTACAAAAAGAATTTTTAGAATCTCACTTCTTAATAGTGAAAACTTGTCATTTTACAAAAATGTTCAAAACATGCAAACTTAATATACTTGAAATGTAATGTTTTGACATAAACCAAGTTTTAAAACTTTGTAAAATAATTTTATAGACTTAATAAACTATGTATAAAGTGATATTGAAGTCTATAAACTAATAAAATAACATTTTATCAAAAACACCTATATTTTGATAAAATCAACAAATACATGTGTGTGAATAATATGAGCTTAAAGTATTAACACACAAGTATAAACCTATACTACAAACACTATAAACTATATACCCAATGTCACGCCCCGCTTCCCAAAATACCGGGGAATCGGGACGCGAGCAAGCCCGCGACGTATTAGACTGAGAAGAGTAAAACAATACGAAGTCACAGGTCCCCGATCACAATCAGCAAGAATATAATAGACAACTCAGAATAAAGAAATATCATATCACAAACGGGATAACATCCGAGACATAAAATTCGGGTCAACATGCCCTTATACAAAACTGAACAAAAGAATACTGGAGAGATACAAAAATACATTGATCAATAGAAAAAGAATGAACTACAAAAGTAAAGTGGAACCATCAAGAATAGGCTTCGACTCCTTCTTCTGCTCCGTCTACAAGGCACTCCTGCTGAGGATCTTCCGGCTCCTGGCGATCTCCTAGCTGAACCTGTTCTTCTCCTAATTCTGACGTACACCAGAGAAAACAGGTGTACGTCAGGTGCATAGCGCACGGCAAGACCCGACCCCACAAAGAAAATAGGAACGGTCGAATGACCAAAGCAATAATAATAATAATAATAAATAGAAACATGCAGCTGGAATACTAACAAGCCAGATGCAATCCATCACTAGAGTATAACGATCATAAGAATCCATAATCATCCGTGTAACAAGGACATACCCCTAGATAGAATTAATACTTAAAAATCTACAACTCGAGACGTAGTACGTCGAGCGAAATAATCCAAACAAGGAAACCCTCATGTATATACCATATGTCTCAAATTGCAGATAATTAAATATTAATCCCGATCTATGTATGAAAAGAACAACACCGGTCTACATCTCAACAAAACTAACAAAGTCCACCATAAAGCACACAAGCAGATTATTCTTGTTTTACATGTTATTTGAATTGGGGAAGAATATTTTGATGTATATAATCGGGTCCCCGTAAAGTCGTCCGGGGGCCGCCTTCAAGTCAAGTATTGGCCCTCTGGCCCATGTACATAACACTCACGATATCACGATAACAAGAAAGCGCTGTGCCCATTTATATACATGCTATATTCTCCGTCCAATCCCCCTTTATAACCCCATGTTTGTCATATTAATTAAGCAACTGTACATGAAATATTATGCACTAGCCACGGAGTTACCGTGGAACGACTTCTGTAAAACTATGAACATAACCGTGACTCGTAACACGTCCGATCAAGAGTGCATCGTCTAGTCAATGCTATAATAATAATAATAATCAAGGAAACCTCATACCGGGATATCGATATCGAGGGAACTCGGGACTCCTCACATCGGGATATCGATGTCGAGCGAGTATAGCCATGCTTTGAAGCACGCTTATAAATCATACTTTTAACAAAAGTCATCTTCATGTACAGTCTCTCCTATTGGATAACAACTAAGTGATAAAACAACAAGCTTCCACACAGCTATTCATGTCAAGCAATCCCACGCAGGTAATAATATATCACAGACTAAATTAATTAACTAATTACTAACAGATATAAATATTGAAATGGCAAGTCGCATAATAATTTACGATAAACTAATAATTAAAATGAAATAATTAAGGTTCGGAATCTTGCACATAAATAATCTACAACAAATATAAGAACTGGAACGAAACTAAACAAGGATCGGGATCTTGCCTCGGGGTTCGTCGAACGACTCAACGTCGACAGCGCAGGTCGGATCTGACGCGGAGAGGCGGCGGTTTGGGCTGAGGCGCGATGGGCTGCTGCTGGTGCACGGGGCGAGCTCGGGGCAGATGAGAGTGGCGAATGGAGTTGGTTCAGGGGAGGAAGTCGGCGACGCTGTGCAGAGAGCTCGCTGCTGCGGTGGTTGCTCAGGTGGGCGCGGCTACTCGAGGCGTCGGGGAGGAGGCAAGGGGATGATGATGATGGCGGCGAGCTCTGGGCGTTCATCGGAGAAGGGAGGGGCGACGAACAGGGGAGGCGTTGCTGGGCGTCGACGTGCTCAGGCGGCGGCGACGTGCTCAGGCGGAGGCTGCAGGTCGAGGTCGGAGGTCAGGCCGACGGGAGATGGGAGCAGGTCGGAGGGAGCTCGAAGGGGTGAGGTGGCCAGAACGCGACGCTGGGCTTGGGGGCGGCTGGTCTCAGGCGGTCGTCGACGTGGTGGAGGAGCTTTGGAGGCGGCAGAGGTCAAGGCGGTGGCTCAGGGGGTGTCGAGTTCGTCGGAGGCGGAGCGGGTGGTCGAGGTTGGTGAGCGGAGCATGGTCGAGGTGCGGGTGATGGGCGGCGGAAGAGAAACGCGAGAGAGAGAGAAGTCAGGCGGCGGCCGCGGGGCTGGAGGTGGCCACGGTGGCGGGTCAGCTGGCGGCTAGAAAGGAGAGAACGAGAGAGAGGGGGCGGCGGTGCTCAGGTGGTCGACGGAGTTGAGGCAGGGGTGGCCGCGCTGGGGTTGGTGGTTGAGGCGGTGGTCGGAGAACTGAAGGAGGCGAGTCTGGTGGAGGGGAGCTTGATGAGGAGAGAAGGTCGGACGTCGGACGTGGTGGCGGGATTGGTCTCGTGGACACGAGAGAGGAAGAAGGAGATGCTGTTGGGGGTGGCGGCGTGAAAACACGGAGAGGAGAGAAGAGAACAAAGAAAACGCACACACATATATATATAAGAAATTAGGGTTTTGAGTTAGGTATTTAAACAAAAATAATTAAAATAATTAGTTATGGGTATTAAAAAATTAAACCAATTACGGAATAATTATCTACAATTAAAAACGTACATATTAAGCTAATACAACATTTGATACAAAATAGTTGAAAAATACCCATATTATATAATTAAACAAGAATAATTAATAATAAAAATATATTTACTTATATTTAAAATCAAATAATTATGGGACAATTATGTACGCAGTAAAACGTACTAGTTATACTAATACGATAGATAATATGTGACAGTAGAAATAATACAATAAATTATACTAAAAACACGTAATTAATAATACAATGTATTATATGAAATAATTTGTAATAATGTTAATAATACAATATATTATTTAAAATATTACGTAATAGTACCGATAATACAACAATTTAATTCTAGAAATTTTTACCGTACAAAATAAATTTATAAATATCAAAATCATTTAAATAAATATATAATTAGATTTTTAAATTATAGAAAACTATAGAAAATCGAGTAAAATACATATACTCTTTTATAAATAATAATTAAATATTTTAAAATGCTAGAAATTTATTTTAATTAATATCACAATTTCACGGTCATTACACCCAAGCTTGAAGGTCTTCAATATAGCCCAACTTGGTAAACTTATGGATGGAGCTTAAACTTGAATCTTTAACTTGAATTGCAAGGCTTCATACCACAATTCCACCAACCTCCATTGGATATGATTGTTGAAGCTTGATTCTATTCATCCTCTAACATATTGTTTTTCTACAATAAATAGAAAAACACAAATACTAGACAAATAATATTAGAAGTAAATTGTTTGTAAATCATCATCAAAACAAAAGGACCCAACAGGAAGAGTCCTTGAGAAGAGCCAAGTATTAGAGCCTTGAGTAAATGAGCAGAAGGTTCAAGGAGGTAGCTTTGAGCACAATCAAGAGCTTTTGAGTTCCTGATTGAAGAGCAAGGAACCCAGCCTCCTTTATGTTGGCAAAAGGAGGCTATAAATAGACAAGCGATGACATCCTTTGATTGGTGAGATGTGACCACCAATAGGGTTGAGAAGCTTCATGTCCTCCTCTAGCTTTGGGATGTGACCATATAGGGGTGATAAGAGTCATGCCTCATCATCATCCAGGATGTGGGAAGTGGGAATGCCCACTCCCACAAGCAAGCAGCCGCTTGCGTTGTTCGTGCGGGCTGACGAGGCGAAGCCGGTAGGCTGGGAGCCGGCTTGAATGCTCAGGCGAGCTTGCAGGCAGGGCTTGTGAACCAGGCGGGTCGGGGCTGATGGCCCCTCCAGGCGTGATGAGCTGTGTTCGTTGGGCACGAGCGAGTTCGTGGCGGAGCCGTTACGCTCCTGCAGGTGGGCTTGGACTGCGTGGCAGGCGAGAGTGAATATTCAGGCAGGTCAAGGCTCGTACATGGCGAGCCCTTGAATCAAGCGGGGGCTTGACTGGCGGCCAAGCCAGTAAACAGGCGAAACGCCCAACTCATGCCGGCGGTTGGGCGAACAGGGCGAAGGATTGGTTCGTGCCGGGCAAACCAAGGTGACAGGCGAGGCTTGGTCTCGTTTCTAGGCGAGCAAGGCATGTAGGGGGTTTGAGCTCGTGTGTGGGAGCTTCTGGAATCAGGCGGGGTTTGTTCGTGCGGGCAAACTAACTATCAGGCGAGGCTCGGTTCGTGTGGGTGAACTCGAGAGTCGGGGTGTAGACTTGGTTTGTGCTTCGGGAGCCAAGCAAACAAGCGAGCTTTTGGTTTGAGCATGTAGTCGAGCTCAAATTAAATGGCAGGCGGGGCCATCTAGTGGTGTTGGTCTCTAAGATAATTTTTACTGTCTACAGTACTCTTAGGTACCCACCTCAACTTATAAGCATAAGTATCATTTCTAATTCTACAATGAGTGGAGATGTGGCCATGTCTCATGCAATAAGTACAAACAATTTTTTTTGTAAGAGGGTACATGTGATTGATAAAACCATTTTCTATCAAAATGAGCATGGCTAGAAGAAGCATGATTAGATTTTAACAAAGCAATTTCATTGTTCAATCTCTCAATTTGAGATCTATATTGTTTGTTTTCGAAATCAATATCACCAATTATAATTTCATTGTTCAATCTCTCAATTTGAGATCTATATTGTTTGTTTTCGAAATCAATATCACCAATTATCTTATCTTTTAAAATAATAGCATTATTCAAAGAGGATTGTAATAATTCAAGCTTTGAATCACATGAGTTGTGCAATTTTTTAAAAGATGAGTATTCTTTAGCTAATTTTTTAAACTCAAAATTTAATTCGACAAGTGTGTTTTCCAATTCACATTCGGAATCGGATATTACCTCATCATCGTGAGTCATGAAACATACATTTGGATCTAGGAAGACATAATTTACCACTTCATCATCATCATCCGAATCGCGAGCTTCAGATTCTTCTCATACCGCATACATAGGCTTCTTCTTCTTGTACTTTATGTATTTTTCTTTTACCTTGGGGCAATCTCTTGCCATATGTCTCGTTCCACCGCATTCAAACCATTTTCCTACATGTGAAGAGAACTTGTTAGAACAATTATTTTTAAAGTTTTTATTTTTCCTTACCAATCTTGATATTCTCTTAGAGAGATGTGTCACTTCTTTCGAAATATCATTTTCGCTATCGGAGGAAGAAGAATCATTTTCGATTGCTCCTTTGAGCGCAATTGATTTCATCTTTGGAGAAGGATCTTCATTTACTCACGGGGTTCTTCTTCTTTCTCCTTGATCTTCTTTTCATTAAGTTTAAGCTTCCCATTAAGTCCATCAATGGTGAGTTTTATGAGATCATTTTCCTCCTTTATCGCCATTACTTTAGGCTCTCATGCCGGTGTAAGAGAACGAAGGATATTGTAGTTCTTTTTTTGGTTCTAAAGCACCTTGTCAAGAACATGTAGTTGATTCACAATGTTAATAAAACGACTAAACATAGCATCAATAGATTCATTTGGAAGCATTTTAAATAGTTCATATTCATGCATGAGATTGCTAATTTTAGATTCCTTGACTTGAGGAGTTCTCTCATGAGTCACAAAAAGTTTTTTTTCCAAAACTCATGTGCGGTAGTATAAGTGGAGACTCTATTAAATTCATTTGGAGTAAGTCCACAAATCAAAGCATTCATAGCCTTCATATTTAGAGTAGCCAAATGCTTTTGATTATCAGTAATATTACGACTATAAATTTCAGCATATTAATTTTTTTACAATATCTAGGATGTCAATACCAATACATCTCAAATAAATGTGCATCCTAGCTTTCCAATATGAAAAATTATTACCATTAAACAAAGAAGGCCTAGATGTGGAATGACCTTCAAGAGCATGCACATTCATATTTGATTCCATATGAGATCTTTACTCTAAGGTGATTAAATCAAAATAAATAGAGACCAAGCTCTGATACCAAATGAAAGTACCCTAGAAGAGAGTGAGTAGGGTAATCAAACAAAATGTGCAACTAATAAAAAACAATTCAATTAAAAACACAAAATATGACAATAAGAAAAATATAAAAGAGAGGGCGAGAGATAGTTAGGCAATTGAAGACGTCAACATGTTCACAAGGTTCATCCACTCTCGACCTACGTCCCCGACCACCTCTCTCGATGGTAATCCACTCCACAATCCAATTTGGAAGTGAGAACTTCTTACACAATGATCTCTTCGAGATCTAATTCTCCACACAATACCTCACAATACAAGATCAAGATGATAATCTCTCTTACAAGAATCCTATGGCAAGGATGAAGAGATAGACTATTGAAGCACTGGGATAGTGAGGAAGTGAAAGTGAAAACTTGAGAAGAGAAAAAACTTGAGCTTAGAAATTTGAAGATTTGAATCTCAAATTGCCTTTTTGTTGTTTGATAATCACATTTTTATTACAATTTTATACCCTCATTACCTATTTTATATGAATAAATCTACCACTAATAATTGTTTTTATCTTTTAATTATAGGTTAATGAAGAATAAATCTCAAACTCCCATCTCTCAACAAAAAACCATTGATTAAATGAAGAAATGAAGCAAAGAAGCCCATTGTAAAATCAATTTCTAAATTATCCAAAAGCCCAAGCTAAGAAGAAGTATTAAAGCCCAAGAAATGCCAAAGCCCAAAGCCAAAACCAAAACAAAATGCATGAAGAAATCAAGAATTATCTAAAAGCCCAAAAGCCCAAGTTGCCAAAAGCCCAACACACAAGGAGGAAGCTCGGACAGAAATTGGAGAGGGCTTAACATCGATGCCAGCATCGATGGGGGCATCGATGCTAGCATCGATACGCCTATCGATGCCAGCATTGATACGCCTATCGATGCTGGTATCGATACCTCTGGCAGTTTGTTACAGATTAGTGGCTGAAAATTATTGTTTTTAGATAAGATTTCAATCCAATGACTCTAATTCACTGATGTTTATTATAAATAGGGGTAGAGAGTGAGGGGTTAGAGGTGTAAAAATTTTTGTAACTCTATTTGAAGAGGAGAGCCACTCTTAATTGAGAAGGCCTTCCAAATTTATAACTTTTGTTACAATTAATAAAATAATTTTTTTCACCACTTTAAAATTTTCTTTTCTTCTCTTTGTTGGATGATAAAGATGAAGATGAAGATGGAGATTAATTTGAAGGTTTGTTTTTCTT